TGAAACTGATCGCATTAGACGGGATGGAGGCTTTTGCCAAGGTCGTGAGCAAAGCATCTCTCGGTGTGGAGAGCTCCATCACACCGGAAACCTGAGCTAGCTTCTGGACTGATCGGATCAAGGTATGGTAAAATTCAGAGTCCAATGCCGCATTGAGGAATGTTGAGCAAGTGGCAAGCGCAGCTGGCCAGCAGGCCTCGATGAGTTCTGCAGAGGTTTGAATCTGGGGAAAGAGTCGATGGTTCACCAATGTAAGAGGATTTATTAGTCGTTGATACTTCTGAGAGGAGGATGTTGGCCGAATGGATCTCCGTGCTGTTTCATCGTCGGTTCGATCCGTGGCAGAACTGTCTCTGCGCCCCATCTCTGAAGATTCTCGCCATGAGGCTCGACTCGGGACGCTCAGTGGCATAATGAACTTCGATAAACCGTCACATAAGGATGAGATAGAATCCAGGACCAGAGTGTATATGTAAGTACTCGGGATCGTAGGGGGATTGTTCTTTTCGGGTTGATCCATGAGTCGAACAGCCACCACACTCCAGTGAGTGCTTATACCAGTAGTACTTGCATCATTCGAAGTGACGGAGGTAATAGCACCACCAAGACCTTGTGCTTCAATTGACGCAGCCTCTTCACTCTTTGGGTCGGTTACACGTTGGACAGGGACGGTGGACTGGCGCCCAAGCCCGATCAACGACGGATCTTCTGCTGCGATACGGACTAGCGCAGACATCAGTTGGCCTACTAAGTTGACTGAATCTTTTCCCTTGTCAAAGAGGCGGAAGATCTCCCGGAATACCCCGAAGTCAGAGCAGAGGGTCCGGAAGAATTCCAGGAAAAGTGCCCGTTTCCATGGTGGGTTGCCATCCTTCTCCAATGCGCCTATAAGTAGAGGGGTCATCCGCGCCAGTTGATCTCGTAGGTCCTCGGCGCGAGCTTGGAACAGCAAGAGTAAAATCGACAGTGCTCGCGATGTCATGCCAAAAGCATCTCTCCTGGTCAAGATACGCGAAAGACCGTGCATGAGGTTCTCCGACCATGTCTGATCGCGGAGTTTCTCAGCTGTAAGAAGAGATTCGTAAGTTGACAGGATCGATTGCAAAGTTTCGAGCAAAAACCCAGGAGGAAGGCTTTCTACTTTGAGGTATTGGGGTCTTTGGTGGTCGAGCAGTAGACAAAAATCACCGAAAAGCCGGATTGCATCATCCAAAGCGATACCTCGTTGACCTCCATCTGAGACATCTTGGTCATCGCGTTCACCAAACGACCCGGCTTTTTCACTCTCCACAGCCTTTTCAAAAACTGTTGAGATCAACTGTTGGAAGGTTGCAGCCGCTGTATTGCTCACAACTGTGGTGCGACTGGATTGAAGAGCCGCACATAGTTCCAAAACTGTGGCGAGGAGTTCTCCATGTATGTCGTAGGCATAAAGCTGGAGCAGAGAGGGCAGAGTCTGTAGAATTTTGAGTTGAGGCTCGTAGCTTGCGGCCACTCCATCAAGAAAAGCATCTAGAACGTCGGGCAGCCTTGTCCGAGCAAGCGCATTACTTGCTGTCAATCTCTGGATACAGGCAGTTCCGGTAGTTGCTAGTTTAGTGTTTCTGGATTTGCAAGCGAGAATAAAGGGTTCAATGAATTGTGGTCGGCGGTACAGGTCGCCCGCCAGCTGAGTCTCGGATGTCAGCGAGATTGTTTTGAGATCGGCGAGCGATTGCTCGGCAGCCGCGCGCACATCATTGTATCTTCGTTTCGAGTCTGAGATGAGGCTCGCCAACTCAGACTGGAGAAATGCATGTGTCATTCCTGCCTCACCTCATTATGGACAGGGATGATTCGAGAACGAGCAACGACAAGTTGCGATCGGCGGCTTTTGCTAGGGAAGGCCGGATTGCAGGTTGGAGAAAATTCAATGGCTACACATAGAACAGGGAACCGTGTACTGTCTGGTGCTGAAAGAGAAAGAGTGGCTTTTCGGCAAATTGGGCCGAGCAACGGATAGGACGCTGCCAAGGACTCCCGGATTGGGACGGGAGCGACGCCGCCCTATACGAGTCCGGCAGCCTCGTGAGAAATTTAAAAGCGGCATGGCATGTGTGAGTTGACTCGGTGCGTCACAGGCGAGCTCGAGGAAGGTTTCATCTCCTTGGATAAAATATCGACAATCTCTCACCCGCCTCTAATGTCATTAATGCCTGTTTATGGGACCCCGAGCTCAATCCTGCCCTTCGACCCCGACGAGGTGGATGGCGATATACGACCTGGCCGCGGTCACCAAGGCGCAAACCACCCAAACGAATCCGAATGCAACATATCCCACCAGCAACCAGTACGTCTTTGCATTGTCAATCACAAGGCTGGTATTGCGGTTTTCTTTGATCAGGTCAGAATCTGAGGCGAAGAGGAGCTGGCAGCGGCAGCTCCTGTAGACACCGGACAGTTGCAGAATCGTGCCAATAGTGAGAACAGCTGCATTGACAATAGACGAGCAGCCAGTAAGTCATCTTAAGTCCCTCTTTCAGGTATTTGTTTCCGTGGCTATTATCCGCCCACTGGTAGGCAACGTGCAGCGTGGGAATGACCAACGCAATGATTCCATAAAGGAGGAAATTAAATGATCGGCAGTCTAAACCGACAGTAGGAGTGTTCTGTCGATTATCAAAGGTCAGTATCGGGGACAACTATGCTAAAGAAAGATGCATCAGAATTAATGCAGATTTCGAGGTGAAAGGCAACGTACGTATGACACAACGATGGCACCCGCAGTGGGTATCGCGACACACAACCACGCAAAGAGATGGCCAACGAGCAGTTGGAACAAACCGGGGGGTGAGATTTGGGGTCGGTGATGGTCTCGTGATGATTTGCGCTCGTGTTCGGCTTTGAGCTTGAGCAACAGGACAGCCGTCGAGGTTAAACAGTCCAAAGTCCTTGTCCCACTCGTACTCCATGCGCCCTAGCCATTCATTCCATAATATGCTGTTGAAATACCGCTCGCGGAGCGGAACATATCGCTCGGACTGCTGAATATATTGGCCTAGAGTGGTCTTTGTAAAGCTGGCGTTCACACTGCTGGCAAAGCAATTGGCACCCACCGAGATGATCACCAGCCACGAGTACCAAATCCCGAAAGCCAACCCATTAGCGGTGTCATTGTCACCCAACTTGGTATAAGCATCATAGAAGACGGATGCTGTCACGGCGAGGAAAAGAATCGTTGGCAAGAAGACAGCCTTAAAGAAGTCAGTGCGGGCTTCGATATGAGTCCTGATCGCGTCTCCACCATTACTTGAACTTCTGGGCTGTCATCCACTCTTTCATCTGACGGACACGAGGTAAGGGGTGGGTTCAAAAGTCGTCATGTGGATATCTTTTTGGTGTCATTGTTTTTGGCTCATCTGTTCTTTGCCTTCTTGTGGTTGGCCTCTTTGATTGAACTCGGTGTCACCGGCCAGGACGACCACCCATCTTAAGAGTTTCAGCCAGAGAAGGTTGTTTGAAGGCACTATTTCGGACTCCCGACGCCTCCTGATGGGCCAGATTCCCCTTTGTGGGTTGATTTCACGCAACATTGTTGCATCAGACCAGATTTCTGAAAAGGCACCAAAGGAAATTGACCCACTCTTGAGTATATTTTCGAACCGATTGCCAAAAGCGTCTCCAGGATTAGTGAGCTTAGTTGAAGTTCGGTCTGCGGGCGGCTTGTTGGATGGTTTGATGTCGCCAAAGGGGCAGAGCAAGAGAAGGCCTATGTAAGGCACAACCCAACTTGTCAACGGCTGCAGCCACTGGGCTAAGTCGCTCTGCTGACTGCTAAGGCAATGTGCTTTGCACCATCCATAGTGACATTTATCGAGGGGAATGTTTTCCCTTCAGGGAAAGTTTCGGTACTGTTCAGGCTACACACGTCCCAGGGGTACTCGTCGCTTGGTATTCGTATCTAAGGCAATCGTGCAGCCTTCATGCAATAAATGTTGCTGTCGTAGGCAGAGGCCGAAGCTATCATGAGACCCAAAATAAGCAGTACCTGTTGTACGAAGGTTGAGTTGTGGACCAGTCTGGTTGATTGCGTTCTGTCCCCCTGGCTATTCAGAGAGACTCTGCCTGTTTATATGTACATTGGCCTGTAACCACAAGAACATTCCTGAAACCTCCTATTCCGTTGCCATCCTGTCACAGATCTGCAGGAACAACGAGGTTGAGGCAGTTTGCGCAGTTGGTGAAGCGTCTAGCGTCTCAGGTGGTTTGCCCTAATGGTGCTCTCGCGACCCTGTCAACAGTACCTCTGACCTCGCTGCTTGCCATGTCGGTAGAGGTGTCCGCAGAGCAAAGAGAGCCGCGCTGCATGCGAAAGCCATCCTGATCCTAAGCTCCTACGTGGAACGTCAGATGCAGATAAAATCCCTTCAAGACTCAAGCAATATCTGACTCAAGCGCTGTGATGACAGTCTTTATAGAGAGTGCGGTGCTTGTCAGTGGTGAGGCTGAACCAGGCCCCCTGCGAGACACCATGGACTAAGTCGCTCGACAGTGCTTTCCGGCAAGAAAGATGAGAAACTCGGTGTTGCATTCGGCATGGCCGATATGTCTCAGGATTGGAGAAGCAGAAATATGGCCTCGCCCAAAATGGGACAACGTGGGATACGAGAGATGGAGGACGTGCATTTTCAGCTTCACTGTGCGAAATGTGGCATTTGCTTCAACCCTCGGGCTCTCGACTATTATACTCGTTTGATATACATGTTTTCTCACATGATTCGTCACAACTTTGGCCCATACCCTCTGTTCCGCCGGAAACATTTTGACAAATGGTTACCAGCAGCTTGAAACTATATACGCTTTTTCATGCTTTTGCACATCCTCACTGATCCAACAAATGCAGGCGCCCAGCGGTTGTCCCAACAGCGCCAGTCAACGAACAATTCCCAGCCGATCGAAGCTGCTACTGCGCGCTCAAGGATCCGCTCTACTATGCATGGTCATGCACCTGGTGGGAGTGGATGGCCACCGAGGACTGGTTCGTGAGCGAATGTGGACCGGAGTCTGACGACCTTTCTTACGATGGTGTGCCAGACTGCGCGCAAAGTTGTCTGCACGAAAAGCTCGTCTACTATGGCTGCGTCACCGAGGGTAGCAACTGTTTCTGTATCCACGGCAGTCTGTTCGACTGTCAGTCCAACTGCCACAAGGAGAACGAAAGGACGGCCATCAAGAACTGGCTGATGGACCGGGGTAGCGTCAATGCCGCATTGGCCGAGAAGGGCGCCGACACCGGTATCTTCTATGGCTCCACAGACGCTGCTTCAGAGTCGAGACAGTGGCCGATCCTGTTTCGGTCCAAAGGAAAGAGTTGAAATGGTACGAAATCTTTGCGATTGTGCTGCTCTGCGACTCTGTCCTTGTGGGAGGACTCATCTGGATCGATCTACGCCTGAGGCAGAGAAATCCCAGCCGCCACAGCCCCGATTGCAAGGTCGGATATCAAGTGCTCTGAGAGGGTGAGAGTGAGTAAGCTTGCAGTCAGCTAAAAGCTTTTGGCAATTTTATGGACAAGTCTTCCAGGGAAACGTTGAGATGGCATCACCAACAGCCTTACATATATCACTAAGTCGGAGGCCGCACTGACATCAGGTTGGGACGACAATGGTTGATAGATACAAGATTGAGCTTTGAGAAAACACCAACCTAGCATCCGTCCAAGATACGTGCTGGAACTGCACACTGCACGGAGCACATGATCCTCCCGACAGATGAATCGCCTTTGCCACCATTCTTTTGTTTTAACGCTTAACTAAGGTCGTTTTCATACGTAAAAACGTACACTAGGTCCGAGGCTAGTACATCCAGACACACATAGTTGTACCTACATAACCCACTCGCCCCCAGCGCCTTGAAGCCTCCGCGCACCCCGAAGGGTTTTGGCGAGCCAGGCTCATTATCTGCTTTATGCGACCCACACATGCGGTATGTGTCCCGTTGTGATTAGAGAGCGAAGAGACTTGATTCAGAGCTTGCTGGTGTGAGTTCAAGGCCGCCTTGGTACAGTAAAAGAGGGCAGCTTAATCGTTTAGGGGATCTACACAATGCAAGCTACTCATATCTCCCAAAATTCAAGTAGAAGTTTTCAGCTATACTGTGGACAATACCACCACAAAGGATGAAAACCAATCCAGCTTCAAGATTGATTTGTAACCTATTCCTCTTCCGCTGCGCCCACGGCGGCGATCTCGAAGCCCTGGCTTGCACAGTTAAAACGGGCCTTAATCGGCGCTCTTCTTCCTCCCGACTGTCCTAGGGACCAGCAACTTCCTTCCTCCCTGACCAGGATTTGGATACCGATCTCCAGACATTCTCTGCCGAGCCTCGCGAGACCTGGACCACGAACGCCACTAAGAACGTCCCGGTCAGCGGCAGAAATGTCAGAGGAAATGAATGCCGCGCCCTAAATGGTTTCACCGCAATCGCGAGAGTTGTGAAGAAGTTGCCCAACGTCGCCAGGTAACTATGCGTCGCGTTCGTATCAACAATTCATAGACTATGACGGGTATGTGATAAGACGTACTGTCTATGGAGAGTCCAAATGAGCCGAAAAGAGCCCCAGGGTGCCACGACCTGCAGAATAGAACTTATCGAGATCCTCGAACTTACGAGGTTTAGAAAACCACAGCCATTTCAATCTGACCACCCTTCGGAGCCCGTCAGCACAAGGATAACAAACCATAGCAGGAAACCTTACCTTCGGCAACAGGAACAAGCAGAACACCTTTCGGCAAAGCAGTAAATACTGCGATCAAGGCATTAATCGATATTAGATGGAGCCATCATGGAAGAGGGCGAGCCGCATGCACTTTCAGAGTGAGGACAGTGGCAATAAAAGTGATAATAGCTATTGATAGATACACTGACTCTACCACCCGCAATGAACATGATCCGGCCATTATGCCTTCGGCATCTGCATGCACGCATTGGACAGACTCACCCATCAACACGGCTTTTGCCTGTTCGCAAACTCAAAGACAATATGGCTTCCTTGGTGAAAGTGACGGCGGACTTCAAATCAAATGTCTTTGAGATCCTCCACCGGAATGATCAGCCTTGCATTTAACATCTGAGGGTCGTGGCTTCGGAGACCCCTTCGTTGACACCCTCAACAGAGCTGATGAAGCATTACAGTCCGCACGTAGCAGATTCAGCATGTACTATCATCACCGAAGATGATTCTCGAGGGCAACTGGAAAACAAGAGGTAGCTTCGCGTCCAGGTACCTACTTTGAACAGCTTCGGAGGCGATCCGTTGCAGCCTGACGTTGTCTTCCGGAAGCGTAACATTACCACGGGAAACTCAAGACCACTGAAGAGGCCATAAGCGGGGTACCTAGGTATGCCGTACATTGTGTGCACCTTGAGAACCCTCTCCCACAGGCTACGAGTGTGTGGATAGTTTCTTCTGAAATGTGCCTTATCATCAATCAAGAAAGGTAAGCAAGGGCGCGGCTAAGGTCTCAGCTGAGTTTGGGCTGTTTGATGCCAAGGCTGAGTATTAAGTGGTGACGAGGCTGCGGTGTTTTCCCGTTGCCCGCCTTTCAAGTTTCTTCCTTCACCCCTCCCAATTTCTCAGGGATTCATCTTTCCCGGCCACCATTGTAACCCGACAGAGAGGAAGTCTCATTCTAATACATAGCTGATCGCACGCAATTGTCATCTCAAGATGGGTGCCAAAGTGCCGCGGAATTTCCGGCTGCTGGAGGAGCTGGAGAAGGGCGAGAAAGGCCTTGGTGCAGGTGTGTGATTGTCTGCGCCTGGTACTTGAGCAATGGCGGCATTAACACTCGTATAGAGGCATGCTCGTATGGGCTGGCTGACAGCGACGACTTGATGATGACCAACTGGAATGGGACGATCCTTGGGCCTCCTCATGTATGTCCCCTTCGAGGCCGCTTCCGTGGAGGCCGTCGATTCGGCTGACTCCTTGCAATCTAGAGCGTTCACGAGAATCGCATTTACAGCGTCAATATCCACTGCGGCGACCAATATCCTGATCTTCCTCCTACAATTCAGTTCGTGTCCAGGGTGAATCTGCCTTGTGTCGATCAAAAGACTGGGAAGGTGAGGATAACATCCAAGAACGATCCCGGCAAAAATTGACACCTGGGGATAAGGTTGATCCATCAAAACTGCCTTGCTTGGCGAATTGGAAACGAGACTACACGATGGAGACAATCCTGATCGAGCTGAGAAGGTATGCTGGAATTCCTGATTTCAGGAGACAGGTAACTGATGTCTGCAGATACATGGCTCTGCCCCAACACAAGAAACTTCCGCAACCTCAAGAAGGCACCACTTTCTAAGAGATGCAACTGCGAGCATTATTTCATGGAGTTGGGCTTCTAAAGGTATGGCAATGAATCACGAGCTTTTACGAATGCATCCTTGGCGTCGGATATTGTTCATAGGACCATTCCAGCTGCAGGAGTGAGGTGATAGCAATGCGGCACACAGCCAGCAGCAACCACATATGTCTTGTGTCTCAATCTTTCCTCGGATGCTTGTATGTTTTATTTCATGAGCAAGAAATCAACCTGGGCCATCGAGTTTCGCCCAGCGTCAGCCTCGCCCTCGGCATACCTGCCTGACCGCGATTTGCTGGTCTCTTGCGAGGCTGGCTCGCTGGCTTGTTGCATTTTAATTGTCCGCTTCAGAAGACCTTTCCGTGCTCGATCAATCCATCCTGAAATGTGCGGATGCCACGTATTCTTGCTCCGCACAAATCGGGGCTTCATCGACTAGCATGCAAGTCTGACGTCTGTGTTATATCCGAAGCCTGTTAACGTGATGTTTTAGGTCTTGCATTATACAAAGCTCTGCTCCGTGAGAGCACGCGAGTCGGCGCCGCGATTGAAAGCCCCGCCGTCACCAAAACTCTTCAATCCTTGATCCGCTTCCGCTTTCATCGAGACCGCAAACTGCTTTCCCCTTCACAAATCGCCAACGGGATCAAGGCAGGCTATGGCTCCCTGTCGCTCTTGCGCCAATGCGCAACGAAATCGGGCGATGCTTTGAACAAGCTCAGCCAGACTCTCGAGCAGGTGGCTCTACAAGCCGAATCAACGTCCGCATACCGCGCCGAGCTAGCCTCACGGTGGAAACCGCCTCCACCCGACCGGCATGCCCATCTAGAGAACCTGCGCCGCGTGGCCAACAAGGCAAACCATATTTCCACTCCCGAAAGCCCACGGATCTTCCAGCACCCTAGACCGATATCTGAACTGAAGTCAGGTATCAGAAAAGTGCCCAATCTGATCTTGGCTCAGGGGGTCCCACTTCTGAAATATCCAGGCCCTACTCCGGTATTGATGAATAGAGTATTAAAGAACAAGATCCTCTGGGGGGTTCGCAAGTGGGCACAGCATCAGGATATCTCAGAAAAGATTCAGCTTGGTGAATGGGAAGATGAGTGGGATGTAATCCTTGCACGAGAGCAGGGTATCACTGAGTCAGATGATGCCGCGAACGGGAATGGTCAGGTAGGGCAGTGGGGAGAACAGGCGGAGAAAGGAGGCGAAAAAACGTCGTCGGTGATCAATATGCGTTTCGTCAATCCCAAGCGATACAGCATCGGAAACGAGAAGAACAACAACCAGCCACCATCCCGCTCCCTTCCTCCGGCCACGAGAGTCTCATGGACATTAGCTCTCCGCCAGGTCGATCGACAACTCGAACAAGCCGTGCACACGCGCGGACGTCAGTACGCAGAGTTAGGGGACAAGTATTGGCAGGTTGTGTTGAAGGAGAGGGAGTTGAAGGAAAGAGAGAGGAGGGAGAAGAAGCACGCCAGGAGAATGGCGAGGAAGCAGGCGACAAGCATTTTCGGGACCGAAGTGCGCGATGGGCCTGTCAGCAGCACGTCTTCTGGATTTATATAGGGTTTTTATTCCGTGAAGGCAAAAGGTCGAATCAAGATCCTTTGCTCGACCCGAATGTGAGTCGAGCAATAGGTACACCCATAGATAATGAAAGTACCTGGGTAGGCATGAGTTCAGTGCCGGACCCATTCTGAATCCATGCTCGCTATTGTTCTGTTTCTAGTACCCAAACCTGAAAATGAGGAATATCCTACTTGTAGACACCGACTAGTCACACGACGAATCCGCTCTGGACCTCTCTAACCGTTCCAAGCTCTCCTTAACGCCCCAACCATTTTTCAGCAACTCCCCTACCTCCTCTAACCTCAACCCCATTGTCTCTGGGTAAATCCAACAGACTGCCACCCACCCCAGAGCACAGATGGCCGCGTAGGTTACGAACGTCCACTGCGCGCCCAGAAAATCCATCATGGGCAGAAATGTCAGGCCGACGACGGTGTTGCAGAGCCAGTTCGTCGCGGTCGCCAGGGAGGAGCCCAGTGAGCGGACGGAGAGGGGGAAGAGCTCGGATTGTTGCCAGGGAACAGGGCCGAGCCCCATGGCGTAGGTTGAGACATAGAGGAGCATAGCGATGAGGATGGCTATGGCGGGGAGATGAGGGATTGAGTTCTCGGAGGAACTAACCACGGTTGTTTCTATATTATCGTCTGAGTGTAAAGGAACGAAGGTGAATGCTCCGGCGCACAGGAGAAGAGCCAGGACCATGACCGGAATAGTGAGCAACAAAATCCGCCTCCGCCCCAGCCGGTCTATCAGATGGAACGCCGCAATGGTGAACAAGAAATTCGTCCCTGCAACACTGAGTGATGTCAAGGTGGGCGACTGAAAGCCCAACAGTTGGAATATGGTAGCTGAGAAGTACATGAGGCTGTTGAATCCGCAAAGTTGCTGAAGGGCCTGTAATGTACATGTGATTGTTAGCGCTCGAGCGTGCGGAGGGCGGAGGAGAAGAGACTGCAGGGTCGGGGAGAGCAGGAAGCTGGATTTGGACTGTGCCGAGTGACGAAGCTGGACGTGGGCCTCTTCTTCGTCAACCAGCTCCTTTTTGATGGCGTGAATGGTCTCATTGACAAGGCTGGTGGTATCGTCTGTCATGCTGTGATAGACTCTCTTCAAGACTGCTCGAGCTTCCGTTTCCCTTTGCACTTTGGCCAGATAGCGGGGCGTCTCAGGCATGAATGCTAACATGACAAGCTGTGCGATAGCGGGAACACACCCCAAGCCGACCATCCATCTCCATCCACCCCTCATAGTGGAAAAGACCCATCCGATCATGTACGCAATGACCTGTCCGCCGGTAACGAAGAGAAGAGACACCGTGACGAGTCTCCCTCTCAAATGACTGGGTGCTAGTTCAGAGATATACAGAGGCACGATTAGACTGGCACCCCCGATGGCCAGTCCCACAATACTTCGGCCAAGTATCATCCCCCAAACAGAAGTTGTCAGGGCCTGCCATAATGCCCCCAGTGTGAAAAGAGCGTCTGCGAACAAGATGATGTTTTTCCTGCCGACTTTATCCGCCAGAACGCCGGCGATGGGACTTGCAACAAGAGCGAAGAGACTGGTACATGAGGTTATGAGTCCCTTATCCAGTGTGGTCAAATGGCGAGAGGACAAGTCGGTGCCAATCGAGACCAAGGTGCTGCTTATGACACCCGTATCATAGCCGAATAGTAGTCCTGAAACGCAAGCAGAGACTGTCAAAGCCCATATGAAGGTATTTGCAGAGGATCGAATGCTTGTGGTCAGAGAAGCGTGACTGTCGTCGTGTCGGTCCGTGATGAGGGGGGCATCCGGAGAGGCATCATCGTGTGCAGGGGGCATTTCTCGAAGTTCCACCTCTTCTGATTTTCCTTCTTCTTGATTGTTGAGCATGAAGTGTCATAATAACTGCATGGTTTGGTGTCGTTTGGGTGATCGCGTGCACAACACCGTCGGGAGACAAGGAAGCCTGCGCAACCTGTGCTCTTCCCGGCTCCCCGGCCACTCCCAGCTCGCCAGCTACATCTGTAGAATCTGGTTTATCTAATTTCTTAGTCAGCCGCCCACATACGTCAGGTCTAGAACTTGACTTGCGTTACCGTACCCTGTAGATTGTCGAGGCCGACGATCGGACTTCGCACCCATTAATAATTCTTCCACCATCGAACGATCAAGATAGCAATTTTGACACTGTTCTCAAATCCTCGCCGACACCCTATGCGCGTAAGCTTCCATCTTCTGAAACTTCTAAAATTGCCCAACGACCGAGAGCAATCGCCTACTCCTAAAGCCTGCCCTTTACCCCTGGCGTGGTCGCCACTCACTGGCAGCCATGAGCGCCATCCTCTCCGCAGACGATCTGAACGACTTCATCTCGCCTGGCGTCGCCTGCATAAAACCCGTAGAGACGCTCCCGAAACAGGGCGACGATGTCAATCCTTACGAGGTAACCACTGAAGATAAAGTCCAGACCCAAAACCCGGCGCCGGCCTCGATATCCCTTACCGATTGCCTCGCCTGCTCCGGCTGTGTTACTTCTGCGGAGGCTGTTCTCATTTCATTACAGTCGCATAACGAAGTCCTGAATACGCTTGATTCTTATCCACCACTCGATGTGCGGTATCTCCTCAACAAGCAAAATGGCCTTGCAAATGGGCACACATCTCCGCCGCCCAACGCCAAACTCTTCGTAGCCAGTGTGAGTCCGCAGGTTCGGGCTAGTCTGGCTGCGACATATGGCATTTCTGAGCGAAGAGCCGGATTTATGATTGAACAGTTTCTTAGCGGATCACAAGGCTTGCGGATAGGTGGCCAGCACAATAACCGATTTATTTATGTGGTGGACACCAATCAGGCACGGGAAACGTGTCTGGTTCTGGGGGCTGAAGAGGTGGAGGATTCAATGGCCAAAAGATCGAAACCAAAGCCAGTCTTGACTTCTGCTTGTCCGGGTTGGATTTGTTACGCAGAGAAGACACATCCTCATGTCCTTCCGCACCTCTCGGCACTGAAGTCTCCACAGGCGTTATCAGGGACACTGTTGAAGACAGTACTGAGCAAGACGTTGAACATTCATCCCTCGCAGATATGGCATTTGGCAATAATGCCCTGCTTCGACAAGAAACTCGAAGCCAGCAGAGAAGAATTAACAGATCGGTGGTGGCGACCCTCGGATTCTACAAACATATCCTCACCTCCCGTACGAGATGTCGACTGTGTGATCACCTCCCGTGAACTTCTCTCCCTCGCTTCAGCGCGCGGTATTCAGCTCTCTAGCCTTCCGCTTAGGCCACTCTCATCCTCTGAACGTACACCATTTCCGGACCCCCATATCTCTCACTTCCTCTTTTCCAGACACCGACGATGGTGGACCGAAGAACAAAATGCAATCGCCGGCTCTTCAGGTGGCTACCTTTACCACACCCTCTTAACAGTACAAGCCCGTCACCAAGGCTCCACCATCTCTGTTCAGCGCGGCCGCAACGCCGACGTTGTTGAATATTCCCTCGTTGCCCCCTCAGGCCAAACTCTGATGAAGTGTGCTCGGTATTACGGTTTCCGAAACATTCAGAATCTAGTTAGGAAATTGAAACCCGCCAGGCAGAGCAAGTTACCTGGCGCCGTGAGACGCACGACTCCTGCCATTGGAAGTGGAAGCGCAAGTGACTACGCGTATGTGGAAGTCATGGCTTGTCCCGGGGGTTGTACGAACGGAGGTGGACAAATTAAGATTGACGACGTGGTAGAAATATTGCCCCAAACGAGGAGCGAAGATGTGGTCAACAGCGTGAATGGACCGCAAAGTCAGAAAGATTGGTTGAGACTCGTGGACGAGACTTATTACTCGGCTGATTCTGCGGAGGACCCTGAGACAAAGGAGGAAGAAGGGGACGATGTGCCTATGACGAACGGGAATGGCCATCTGAACGGGTACGAGAAGTCCGAGCAGACGATCATCGGCGGAATCAATACCAACGAAGTTCACGCCTTCCTATACTATTGGTCTAACCTCGTGAACATACCGGTGTCAAAGCTCGCTTATACGACTTTCCGGGAGGTCGACAGCGACGTTGGCAAGAACAAGCCCGCCAGCAAGATGAGCGATACGGAGCGCATTGCAAGTATTGCCGGATTAAGCGGCGGTGGATGGTGAAAATGGTCCATTATATATTGCGACGAACTAGGCGTGCTTTATATTATGAGGGAATGGGAGCGACGGGATTGGGCGACATATGCCGCAATGCCCGCGGCTGTTGCTAATGCACAGGATATGAGACAAAGGAACTTGATGAGATAGATTCGAATTTGATACCCGGCTGTTGGGGCCCAGGGATATAGATGTTTGTACGTGACGCCGCGCAGGATTGATCTATACACTTTATTTCCATTTCGCTATGGGCGCGCATATAGGGTTCGTTCTTTTCCGACTCAAGCACCGTTTCATGTCCGTAGTCGCTTCCTCAACCTCTCCTTTGCACCTACTATTAAACCTCAACTTTATCATTATTGAAATGTGGTCTTCGAATGTTCCCCTCTCTTTCACCTTTGGTAGTTATGCTACGAAAATGTCGGTCTTGGTGCGAAAGTGAGGGATCGCACTCGCACCTATAGTTCTAATCATCCTCCACAATCACTATGACAATGCCATGATCGAGCACAGTCTATCCAAAGTCGAGGTTGGGATGAGTCGTATGGAAGGGAACATAGAATTGTTGCAGCAACATTTTGGCATCCTTTGTAAAATGGTCTCGCCCTCAAGTAGATCATTGTCGTCTAATACCTAGGTCAGTTTATTTCGATATCCTCTTATTCTTTCTAATTATAATTTCGAATACTCTCATTCCAGACATCCAGGTCAATAATTCCTCTCTCCCTCCGATGCTCAACCTAAAAACTCTTCCATCCAAGGTGAGCCCTTCTCAAAATAGGTAGAAAGTTCTAATCAATTGAAGAAACAATCCTCTAGATTTCAGAATCTTTCGACAATTAGTATGTCATTGCGAGGATACAATAAT